TATATATATATATATATATATTGCCCGACCTAGGCCTAGATCTTCCTGTAAACTACTAGACATTATGGTGTAATAATACAAACTCAAAGCAATGAGAAAAATTCTGAAGGTTCGAGTAACGTGGCGTCTGTTCATAACAACTGAACTACACAAAAAATGATTCGTAAGCAATTACATAAGTAAACTTGATATAACTAGCTCTTCTAAAAATAATTTACTTTAATGCTCGTATAATATAAACCAAGCAATAGTCTCATATTAAATTTAAATGAAACAGACATGTATATCTATCAAAGACATAAAATTGTATTAATAAATATAATTCTACAGTGGAAATTAAATCAGATATGCCAATTATGTATAAGTAGTGAAACTTACCTCTTCTTCCTCACTAGATGAGATTTTGACACCTCGGGAAGTTTGCATACCTTTATCACAGGGTGTCAGTTACAGAACGAAGTAGATGAGAACATTTTGTATATAAGTATAGAAAATCATATTAATCAACATAAATGAAATGAAATCAACTTACAGTAATCAGAGTCTTTTCAACAGTTAGTAAATTTAGCCTCATTTTAGACATGCATTTATTTCTAATCCATTGCGATCACCACAGCTGATAAATACTGGGACCATATTTTACGGTATAAGTATACAGATTATCTATATCGAAATAGCTGTGTAACAGTACTAGTTTCATTTAGTTCAGAAATATGTTCAAAAATCATATTTTCGTCAGATGAGTTGTCGATGTTTATCACTTGTAGAACTATAAGACAACACAATTGCAATATTGTTGAATTCAAAGTGAATGTAGACTGATTTGAATGCCAATTATATAAGGACGATCTTCCCAGATTTGACTGTATATTGCAAAATAGACTTGGCCAATTCAGAAGTGACCTTTTTTTCAGTAGTCGTATGTATGTCATCGATCTATTGTATTGCTATGCAGCATATATTGCTGATATATAGCAACTCTGAACTTAGATGTTACTTGTAGCATTGTTTCATATTTGTTTCATATCGCCCCAGATATCTTTTACTACATATGACACAAGGTTTTAGTGTTTATATTCAAAATTTTATTATGCTACTTTTGTTTATGTTATACCAATTAAAATAGGATAGTATCTTATCTAATAATCCATATTGTATTAGTATACATGTTTTAAGTTCTTATTTTTAAAAAGGAATATTAAAAAAATCCTGAAAATTAAATAGTGTGACCCAAGTGAAAAATTTTGTCTTGACATGTCATCATCCCTATTTTATCCATCCCCCCTCAAAAATGTACGAAATTAAAAGTAAATTACTCTCTATAAAATCTTTATTGCTCAGAGAAACCATAATTTGTATAGTCTTCAATTTTGTTTGGTTACAAAGCTATCAAATAGAAAATCAGTCCCCTCCTGCCATACCCACCTGTCACATCCTCTCTTTCACAATTCGTTGATAGTTCTCTCTTACGTTTCATTATATGTTACCTTAACCAATAGAAGGCCAAAGTTTCATCTATCAAGTGACTTAATGTATAACAGAGTACAAGCTTCGTTCCCATAGGAAAGTTAATAGCTAGCTTGGATGAATTTGTAACGGCTCTTGTCGCATAGCTAGAAAATGAGAATAAGTTTGAGAGTTAGGGGAAATTGTCTACTCTTTGCATGTTATTAGTCTATGTTTTTGGTGCATTATTTAATTAAATCAAAATTATTAAATGCATTACTATTAGTTAACTCTCTTCAAAACCCGATGGCAAGAAAAAAGAAAATGGGTAAGTATTTTTTCTTGTTTTTCATAGTTGTTCTTTATTTATTATTATAAAACTAACTATAATTTCATGGGTAATGTAATTCGGTAGCATAACGTGAGCTGCACATTCTTTACAACTTTTTATGGCACCAAAAGTAGTTTTATACACATTTAAAAGGGTAATAAAACAATAAAATTTAATTATAAATAGATGTATCACATTATGAACTTAGAGTTACTTAGGATAAACGAATGTATTTTTATGTTACAATTTGAAGTCATTCTAGAAAGAGAAAAAGCTAATTTAAGTTAATTTCGATATTTTTTGGTGGTTACGAGGTCGGTCGAATTGACCGATTCCGTTTCGAGATAGAGTAGAGAAAATAACAGATAAGCTATATATTTTACTGAATAAAAACGTTTGAAATTCATATAAGAAGTTTTAGGGATTACACAAAGGAAATTTGAGATTTTTGAGATGAGGAAAAG